ACTAAGCAGAGAGACAGACAGACATTGTAATATGTATTATACTCGTACCTTACCCTTTCCAATATATGCTGAGAATTGTATTGATAAATAACCATGTCAAATACCATTAATCATAGAAAATTTAATTATTATAAAGATTTGGAGTTAAATTGGAATATGTTTAATATTCATATGTTCAGATTTATACGGAACTCTCAACGTGGGAGTTCCACTCGCATTGATCGGTTTCGTGAATTCATTATTACTGAATCGTAATAAATTGTATTTTTAGTGGACTATAATACTGAATTTATGGCTTATTTAATTTATGTTATCGTTTACATTATTTTATATGTCACGTCCTACTGTGACTCGATACCTACATACGAGTATATGTATGTTGGTTAATCTTGTATAAGCTCCTGAATCGATAAAGCCAATTTTAGTAGTACATTGAGTTATAAAATCAATAACTTTAATATTAAGAAATGAATGGATATTGTATTATTCGCATTTATTATCACAAATTCTTATTTTTTTATTTATAGCTACATTAGGATTATTAAGGTTCATTTATATAGGTATAGTTGCTTGAAAGTGACAGCTGTTTATTATTTAAGTTATAAGCAGGTATTATGTAGGTACATTAGGAAAAATTATTAAATACTATTTTTCATTAATACTATTTCAAACTATTTGTACTACACACAATTTATGATTTCATTCTTATCGTCAATAACTATTAAATAGTTATTTGAAGCCATCAGTAGCATCGGTGTAAGTTCACGTGTGTACATATGTCGTTACCTCACATTACACGTCTGGTCAATATTTGCTTAGGCAGGACCCGACGTGGTGATTCCGAGAACGTATATAGTTATGGCTCTGAGAATTATTTTAGGGTTTCTGAACTATGTCGAAATTTTGTTAAGTCTGTCATGTTGGTGATTTCTTTTTAATTAATTGAGCTTCTCATTTTGGTTATGTAATTTACTATAATATCTTACAATTTGTTTTAACACGTAACAAAAACAATTAAATAAATGGTCTGAATATGATTAAAAGATAAACATTTTATCATAGCAACTGTGTTCTTTAATGGGTATATATTAGTATCTTAACAAAAAAACTCAAACTAGTCAAACTATAGGTACATAATATAATAAAATTCTAACTAAGTCGAATCTGTACATTAAATATTTTTTTGGAAAATCTAATTGAAATAGACATTATTATCGATACAGAGACCGAATGTATAGTTTTTAGAATTTTTGTCTGTCGGTCTGTCTGTCTGTCTGTTACCGCATCACGAGAAAACCACTGGACAGATTTTGATGAAATTTGGTATGATGATAGCTGGTTATCCGGGTCAACATATAGGATTTCTTACCGCGGGAAAATATCTCATTTCTGAGAAAATATACAAAAACACAAAAACTGCATTGTAAGAGTATACTAATATGTAAGTCTCTCCCGTGACCATGATTGCTGTAAAGCATTCGAACTTCGGGAACCAAAAATCAAAATAAATTCGCGAAAAATCCGAAAAGATAGTTTTATTTAATATGTAAAATCTAAGAATTTGGTTCATGGTCATCTGAACGCGGGCGGAGCCGCGGGCAATGCTAGTAATTTATATAATAATATAATTATTATAACTTTTTCGACAACATGCAATGTTTATTTTCTCATTCGTATACAATACGATTATATTATAACGCATTAACTAAACAACATAAAACAGTAAAGCTACATAATTAAATTAATTCTACTCCAAATGATTACATTTCATTTAAAATTATGTTGACGATTATTTATCTAAAACCGACCTTATTGGATTCGCGCTTGAACTTTTTAACCGTTAGTTAAAAGTGCTGAAAAAATCAACTCAGAATTTTCAAAATTAATCAATGCAAATATATAAGCAAACAAAAATATTATTTACAAACATATTCAAATAATATTTATATGATACTAGCGATTTACCCTAGCTTCGTGCGGATCCGTAGATGATTGTTACACTTTTACGCCAGAACGGCTGAACGGATCTGGATGAAATTTGGCGCAGAGATAGATTATTTTAGTCTGGAATAGCAAATAGGTTACTTTTTATCCCGGAAAAATTTACGGTTCCCGTGAGATAGATTTGTTTTTGTTTAGGGACGAACTCGTGGCGAAGCGAGTGTAAGTCACTAGTTTTGTTATAGTTCTATAATAAAAACACATAAAAATGGCTTATTTTCCTGGAAGTATTATTATGCCTTATAATATTACTTAGAATACGATTTGTTGTCAATTAACATATCATGTGATCTTATCAAGTGAAATATCTACACTTAGGTGAAATAAAGATGTCATAAGTATTTTTAATTTTAATCACAGCTGATGTAATATGTACAATGTACATACATCCAAATTTTATTGATAATTTACTACTACATATAAATGTTTTTTGCTTTTATTGCAATACTAATTTTTGACCCAGTCTTCCCTTGAATGGTGAGGGGGACATACGTATTTTGGCCTATGCCCGTTCCCATGGTGCTATTTATTTATTTGCCAAACATCATCTAAGTCTATTTAGCGGTTTAAGCGTGAAAAATTAACAAACAGACAGAGTTACTATTCCATTTATTATATTAGTATGGTTTACTTTGTGAAAAATAGGACAGTTAAAATTTTACTAAGCGCCTCTCACAATTTCTAATGCATATTAGAAAGTAAAGTATATCTTTTTTAGAAAATTCATTATCTATCTTATTTCTTTACAATATAAATGTTAAATCCATTAGGCGTCGTATTATTACAGTCTATAGCACTCATCAAAATAATTCCACGCTTACAAAACAAATTACCGACAAATTGAAAGGGCTTGAGGATTGTAACTGGTGTTTTTGCTCAATTAAAATAAAAGTATTATGATATTACAACTTAGGTGCTGTCTTTCTATGCTTACCGACTTCGACTATATCAATAATAGATTTGGGCAAAAAACTTAGCTAAAATGCTTTAAGCCATACAGATTATTAATACAAATATGCATAAGTTAAATGTTAGAGATATATATTTCATTCTTTAAAATGGTATAAAGCAAATAGTACGAACGTAGTTTAACTCTACAAACAAGATTTAGATGTTTTTGTTTAAAAAATAATGAAATAATATATAAAGGTTATTCCTAAATAAAAGAAGTTAAAAAATAAAAGTGGGTATTATTGAAAAGATTTTTTGGAATGATTTTCTTAAATTAATTTATAAGTATATATGATTAAAAATCTATTTAAAAAGATCTCTTTGTTTACTCTTGATGTTTACATATTATTCCATTTAACAGCTGCTATAATATGTTACAACTATCGTTAATCGTTTACGTGAGCTAATTCGTCAATTACAAAGTTGCTACGACTTAATTTTGTTATCCTGCGTTCTGATAGCTTACATGTAATTTATATGTGACCATACATATATAAAAGAATTTCACCGTTAAGTTAAATACTTTAATTTCCTTATTTGGATTATTCGTTAGAATACCTCGTAATATTTTATAAAATATTTACTTACTATTACTCATACTTATTCCGATATAAGTATTATATAATATGTTATAATTACCACCTGCGGTAAACTCATTTCCTGTGCGCCATAAAAACGTAAATTTGACATTTACACCACTATTATAGTTTTAGGACTATTAGTAATCAATGATAATTAAAGTTGATGTATGAAAGAGTAAATGTCAAACAAAATTAGACATATTTTTTTGTAAACGGTCGGATTAAAAGCTACGATAGCTTCACTGTCGGCATGCGGTCACTTAAATTGCTTAATTTACGTATTAAATTTAGTTAAATATGTATTTTTAAACTGCGATTTAAAGTATTCGTTCGTTTATTTTAATTTTAAATTAAGGATGTAACGTACATAATATTTAATTATCTATAGGTATATACATTTAAAGCGGAAATCAAAGTTTTAAATGTCATTAAGAAATTATAATAATTAGTAACAATAATTTTAGCATTAAAGATCATTACCCACCATAGTATAATTTTGTGTAAATAATAACTAATTACACAGATTAATTCGTCTCAAGATTCTCGTACTGAACGCTCATTTACCTTACTTTTGTACTAATTTACTGTAGTCTTTAACAGAAATAACGATAGTGCGGATAAAATAGACAAATTATTTCAGTTTTATATTTAGCTAGGTTATAATTTAGTTAAAGAAAAACTTAGTCTGGTGTTCGGATGAACAGGACTAAAACAAATAACAATTTAAAGAAGCAAAAATTGTATTTTAAATCGGTCAGTCGGTCACTTACCATGCAATGCATAAAGGCGACAAAAGACACTCAGTCACTCCACAGGAACTATTCTACACCCTATTCTTTTCCAAACCTCTTACATTTTACGGCCAGCATCCGCCTGCAGACACAGTAGCGCACAATTATACGTGGAAATTACTCACGCAATTTACCGTCTGCGGTGTAGTGTTTTAGATTTGTTATACGTTTAACTATATTTTGATCTTTGTTTATAACGTACATATATTTTTATTTTACTAATGGACCAGACAGAGTTTTTTGAACCAATCTAAATTAAATTCGTTTGTGACTTTAAAGCCATACAAAAATCATCATCAGTTAAAATCCTATAGAAAAAGCACTTTCTGTTTTTCCCGAATTTTCCAGTTTTTTGGGCAACTTTTCCACATTTATTTTTCAAAAAACTTTATACGGACTATTATTAACATCTCAAATGATGCGCTTATCATCGAACAACTTATTTTATTAGCACGTAGCACGAGCAAAAACTAGTTAATTTATTAACAAACTTGTATTTTTTTTGCAAATGTTGCTAACAAAGAAGACTCAATTTTAATAAAGGCAAATTATTCTATAAATTCAAGTTAAGCTACCTTGAACAAAGCACATAAAGAAATTGCCCAAAAAAATCTTTCCATTACATTTAACACCAATTACATTTGAATTGCGTAACTAATAGTGATTTTTTTTTCAGGTAAATTTGAGCCGCATCCCGCAGCAGGCTTCAACATGGGCTATCTCATGGCGCCATACCCCTACCCCAATGGTGGTGCACATCCACTGCCCGTCCCTATGGTCAGTAGCGCATTAATTTACTTACTAGTTATTAGTTAAGTGCGATCTGAAGTTATCTATACTATATTATAAATTTCTTGAATCTGTCAGGCAGATTTGAAAAAATATTGTAGTTTTATAACCTATTTATTGAGAAAACGGGTTGACTCTTAGGAGCAAAGCAATTATCTATGTACATTGTACTTGTTCTTAAATAAACACGAGCGAAGCCGCAGGCAAAAGCTAATTATTCTATAAGATGAAGTATAACATTAATAAAAAATATAATTATCTGAACGTTATAATTCAATTTGTACAGTATCGATTGATAATATATATATATTTTTTTAACGGAGAATAATAAAATGAGAATAAAGAAAAGAAAAATATTTCAATTTAAACAATAAATTAAATAATTGTCAATGTTTAATTTTACCATTGTACGTGCACACTTTAAATTTTAAAATATCTTAATTATAAACTAAGCGGTTTTACGACTACAAGTGGCGAGGTAATACGTGACAGTGTTCCTTTATCTGGTTAGTGGTTGGCTCTGCGTACGACGTCAGAATTTGCAAGTTCATGGCATTATATAGTATATACCTATTGACAATATAATTATTGGGTTTTCCACTATCCATACAAAAGAAAATATACCTCGCAAAGAGATGGATGGATGGAAGGGATAGTAAAGTAAAATTATTTTATGTCACATATTTATACGCCCGCGGCTTCACTCGCGTGGGAGGTACATCGATAAAAAGATTATGTATCTATTAACCTAATTCCGCCTGACGATTTTTACATAAATCCGTAAATCGATGGAGAGTAAATAAATGCATAAACACTTACATTTATAATATTGCATAATTATAATAGGTACATGATACTTAAAGATAAATTTTTAATAAGTATAATCGATTGACCAGAAAAAGAATAATCTTATGACACAAAGATTATATTATATATACAAGGAATTATAGATAGCTGACTAGATAAGCTGATAAATATTCATATTTGTTTCCTTTTACTTATAGTTGTTCATATTTATATTTGTTTCGTACAATATACTTCCACTTCAAAGTTTCTTTTCGAAGCGAACGTTTCATTTGTTTCTGTACAAAAAAACCGAATAAGTATATCAATAATCCATATACTTTGAAACTTATTCCGAGGGAATATGATTTGAGTAGTCTAGAAATTGTTAAGCTTACCTATACTTGATGATTGAAAAGTCAAAAGTCATAAAATAAATCTTAAAAATTCACGCCCCTATCAATTGTTAACTTTTTTTTATTTTAGTTTCAAAATAACTTTATTAGCCTTTTTATGTTATTTATTATTTATTATTATGTTATATATTATATTTATTTATATACAATCAGCATGTATATCTAAAGATATATTAAAAGCAAAATATATGATGTTAAATAACAATAGAAAATCTCCTGTCGCTTATAACTAATCTTATCATTGTTATCAATATCGACTCATGTCATATCTATAAATTAATGTGTATTAACAATGTAAACTAATGCTGCTTTCACACTTTAGCATTATTTTAATAAATGAAAATGTTTATCTATACATACAGATAAATAAAATTGGAGTGTCTGTTTGTAATGTCAAAATAACAACTTTTTACTAAATGCATATGATGGAGATCCGATCTCTAAAATGGCTGGACCGTTTGTCTGATCTCTGAAATGGCTGGACCGATTTTGACTTTCACTGGCAGATGGCTGAGTTAATAAGGAGTAACTTAGACTACTTTTATTTTAGAAAAAAAATAGGGTCCCACGAAAAAAAATTAAAACCAATGAAAAATTTAATAATTTCCGATTCAAATAGGGAAGTTGTATACATAGTAAATAAATTTAAAAATATATATGTAATAACCTTCTTAAAATATAATCTCAATAAGTACCTATAATGCACTGTAGTTATTATTTATTTAGAATGTTTAATTTCTTCAAGTAATATAAAAGATTACAATAATAATATATACGTAATATTTTTGAATTACATATTGCTTAAATATTTTTTTCTACACTATTTCATGTTAATGTTTAAAAAATACCTACAATATGAGCGAAGCCTAATCTAAGATTTGTTAAACGTATAAATCCACTTATCTTTCTCTATCTTGTCAGCATGAGAACTTATTCCATACAGACATTATGTTGTCCTAACTGTATTTATGTTTACGTACTCCATTTTTCCTGACGTATAGGTGTTGAATCTCAACCTAGCTAAGATAAATTGTATTGCTATAAGTTTTTTATCATTATTGCAAATAGGATGTACGAATCCATTTGTATTTCAAACGCTCGACGTTTCTACATATAATCAAAATTAGAATAATGAAAATACTAATTTAGTACACTAGCGACTCACTCTCGCTCCGCTCGGGTTCGTTTCTACTTACTTTTTAACGTTTAGTATAGATTTCTCGGAGTTGAGATATTTTCCCGCAGAAAAAAGTATCCTATATGTTAACCCGGATAACTAGCTATCATCATAGCAATTTTCATCCAAATCTGTCCAGTGGTTCTCTCACAGTTGGTGATGCGGTCACAGACAGACAAGAATTATAAAAACTATATATCTGGACTATTTCAGTAAGATTTCAATAAGATTTTCCAAAACATATTTAATGTACAGATTCGGTTTGGTTGCAATTTTATTATATGTATGTATGTATAGATAATATTCATTGTTATTAATGTAAACTTTAAATTAAGCATCGTTAAAGTTTATTTAAAATTAAAAAAAAAACTTGTTTGTTTACTACTTCTGCGGATGACAAATATTTAGTACCGTTAAAGTATTACAAACATTAACAGGTAATGCATAGAAAGCCCTCTTATCTTAGTAATGTCCGTAGGCTATGGTGACCTTCCATTAGAGGACCTTTTGTTTAAGAGCTAGATTATATATTATTGCGAAGATTTGAAGGAAAGAAAATATGTATGCCGTAGGCTTTTATTATTTTCATCAAAATTTTAATCTTCAAAATTTCAATACATCGACTCCTGCTCGGGGCACGCTTTAATATCTTATATCCATTCAAAGTATCATATAAAATTGACATTTTGCAACCCAGCAAATATTCTTGAAGTCACAAAATTTCTTCTACATATTGAGAGTAACTTATTGATATGAGGCTATTTTGCCTTGCGTATATCGCAAGAAATCTAATTTAAGATTAATATTAAATATAACAAATATTTACTTTCCAGTAGGTATACCAATACAAATCCCTCACGGACCACAGTAATTTAATCAAGATACTATTTTCATCAAATTATTCCTCGTAATAACTGCCACGTGTTCGGATTCGAACCCTAGACTCACCGGAAACGGTAACACAAACATTTTTATTTCTGTCTTCATTCCGCGATGCGCCATCACTGTTTTTATTTCCATCTTTACGTGTAATGTAATAAGTGAGTTCGTTACTGTACATTTAGGGTTGTCGAACGTTTGTTATTTTTTAAAACCACCCTTAGCATTATTCGCTTTACATATAATATTAGTTTAGGTCAAGTTAAATAGAGAAAAAGAGGTTCTTTTATTTATAAAGAAATAGTAGTAGGTTTGAAAGTAAACATACAAAATTTATTTTTCCTTTTTTCCAATTTATTGCCACTGTCAAAAGTAGCCAATGTCTGACGAATAGCAAACGGTCTCTATAGCCATTATGCCAGATTTCATTAAAGATTTAGTGGTGATAATGTAAGGAACAGTTTCCAATCCATTTAATAAACATTATTTAAAAAATTAATACTGGACACATATAATTAAATATTATCTAATATCGGCAAATATTATGTAAAATTTGTTGTTTAACGATTCCTGATAATAATAATATTGTTTAATTAAAAAAAATAAACAACAATATTAATAACTTAATTCTTAATAATATTGCGTTTAAATGCCCCTTTGGCAACCCTAGAGCAAAAAAGTGCACACCGAAATATTTGGTGCGTCACTTTGTGAAACAATTTCAATAACGAGCGACGATGTCATGTAGAATGTGTTAATTAAATTCATATTGATTATTGCATTTTTGCTCCTCACGATGCTAAGTATGCTGTTTGTTTTATAATAACTAAAAAACCACTTATAACTAGTAGGTAAATTAGATTTATAGGTACTCATTACAGCTTTATTTAAATCTATTTGCTTAAAGACTTTTGACTTCATAATAATTCAAACATAAAATCGATACCATCACGTCAATACTCGATACCTACGAATCTAAGAAAAACGATAACGAAAATATGAAAGTAAAGCGCAACAGGTGGACATATTCTCGTCTCATTCTTTTCTACGTAAGGGAGCCACCCCCGTTACCGCCTCCATGGGGCGGGAAATGAAGAGGGGATGAATTTTCTTTTTACTTTTACGGCTTTTGTCTGGGTGAATGCGGACAGCAATTTCGGGGTCGCTTGCGTTCGAACCAAAATGGATTTTGAATTTGACCGTGTTACGTATTTGAATTTTATATTATGATGACATTAATAATCAAATAATTTATCATTTACAACACAAACTATCTATAGTGCATATGAGATTTATTAATACGAAATATTTTTCAACCGACTTCAAAAAGAAGGAGGTTCTCAATTCGACTGTTTTTTTTTATGTTTGTTACCTTAGAACTCCGTCATTTATTAACCGATTTGGACAATTTTTGTGTTGTTTGAAAGTGTATACTTCCAGATTGGTCCCATTTAAATTTCAAAATAAAAATACGGGTGGTATTTTGGAAGGGTGGAAGAATAGTTAATGATGAATTTAACCTACTTCTAATTGTCGTATTGACTTGAAACTTTGCAAGTGTTTCTATTTCCGTTGATAGAACAGTGGTTCGGTATTGTTGACCTGATCTGATGGTAAGGCCAGAAGGTGGATAGGTGGAACTCTTCAACGGCTAATAGTAGATACTTTGAGTTTGGACTTATTTTGTTTGATTTGACAAGCCTAACACGTTAGAATTCTTACTTTGCTACTAC